TGCAAATCAAATAATATGTGTCACGACACGGTGAAATTAGGCGCTCGTCAATTTATTTATTTTTTAAATATGAAGTTATGGTATCATATGAATAAAGTTATGTTATCATATTATTATTAAAGCGTGTTTATTTGTCATGATTTTGATAGAAAAAATACCCTATCTTGAAAAGAAGTCGAGATATTTGCGGTTGAAGGCGGCGGAGATCGCCTGAGAGGTAGCGCGAAAATTGCTCCCAAAATGTTGGTGACTTGTACGGTTTTGAGTGTTCTTGGAAACGGCAAATTTGCCGTTGTTTGGGGGGGGGGGGGTTGTATGCCGCTGATCGGCTTTTTTTTTAGTAAAATCCACCAAGAAATGTGATTTAAATGGACTTAAAAGGTGTTAGGTAAAAAAAAACAACTAACTTGAACAACAACAACAACAACAACAACAACAACAATAACAACAACAACGGGCTGAAAAATGTTGATTTCTTCGATTTCATTATGTCGACAAGCGCTTGATTATGACAGTGCTATTTTGAATTTTTTGTGGGTGCGGCCAAGCCTCCTCTTATCGAATTTAGGACCACCAAGGGATCTTTAACGAGCGCAACTTGCACACGAGACCTCCGAGATTTCTCTTGGATCTTCTATCTTACCTACCCTATGATCATGGATGTGGCTGAAAGACAGCAGTAAGAAGAAGCCAAGGAGTAGCAGTAGAAGAAAGGCAGCAGAGGGGGGGTCAAAATCAGGGGAGGGGGGGGGAGAGAAACCTGACAACAGACCATGATTAAAGAACAGAAAAGGAGGTGAAGGGAGAATATATTTTAGCAAAAGAAAATGTTCCGTCGCTGTTAGGTTTCAAACGAGAGACCTATTGAATGAGAGGCGAACATCGTACCTCCAGACCATGAGAGACCCTGTGTTCACAAGTGTTTCCAAAAAAAAAAAAAAGAGAACTGAAGAATGGCTTGTTCGTCTCGTGTATTTACTTCCCGTATCTTTCTATAACAATTGAATCTTTGTCCACAACAAATACATGTTGAAGAAAAGACATTATAGAAAACAGGGAAGAAGACATTATAGAAAACAGGGAAGAACAAAGAAAAACAAAGATAGACTCCTGGGCACCGTTTGCTCACATGGTGAAGTATAGTATCTTTTACTGTTTTCGATGCCCTACCCCCTTTCTTCCGTTATCTCTGACTCCCCCGATAATTCGTGTTCCCAGTTTAGACTCGTTTGTCTGCTCCTTGGCCAGTGCGCCGCTCAAAATTAACGAGGAGTGAGAGAGATCAGTCCGGGATTTGGGGGGAGGAGGAGGGCGATGAAGGTGAATAAATGGTTTTCTTTTCTTTCCTCTTTTTAAGGGGGGGGGGTAGAGGCATTGAGCAAAAGAGTGGGGGGAACAAGGAAAACATGGGAAAGGAGGAGGATTTATAAAGACAAAAAGTGAAAAAGTGCGCGGAAGGAAAGAAAAAAAGTGATGTGATAGAAGAAGAAGGAGAAGATGGAGGAGGAGGAGAAGGAGAAGGAGAAGGAGAAGGAGAAGGAGAAGAAGAAGAAGAAGAAGAAGAAGAAGAAGAAGAAGAAGAAGAAGAAGAAGAAGAAGAAAAAGAACAAGAACAAGAACAAGAACAAGAAAAAGAGGGGGAGAGAGTGAGAGAGATAGACAGACAGATAGACAGACAGAGAGAGAGAGAGACAGAGACAGAGACAGAGACAGAGACAAAGAGAGGGAGGGGGGAGAGAGCGATGGAAGAAGTAAAAGAGTCATAAATAATGAGACGTAAAGGAAAAAGAGGGAGAGGGGGGGGGGGGTCGTTACTTAATTTTTGCACTTTAGTGATGTTGAAGTCACGAAATTGCAGTTGTTGTTAACTATGTCGCGTTGTGTACTCATCGCCGCTGTAAATCATTGTCGTTGTGTGTCAAAATTACGCGGATATCAGGAGGAGCGAACAGTAGTGTTGTTGTTGTTGTTGTTGTTTGTTTGTTTTTGTTTTTCCCAGAGCACCGTCTTAATACACAGTGTTAAGATCGTCTAAATCCGTTTCTGTTTTAAGAACTATAAGACTAGGGCCAATTGATACGCCCTATTTACTTCACAACACGCTTGATTTTCTTTCTTTCTTTCTTTTCTTCGAAATTTTGACATACTACAATGTTGAATAACAGCAACGACATGAACTTTACTCTATCGTTGTAAGCATATTCACGATATTGCTCTAAGTACATTCCTATGCTATACCGTTGTATGGCAACTTTAGCAACTCACGATTCTTTGTGAGGAAGATGAAGCCCTCACCTGGCCGCAAGCGTGTGCTTGTTTGGCGCAATGAGCATCCGGCGAGAAGCCCTTGAGTCATAAAATATTATGTGCAGCTTTTTACATGGTGTATGTATGAAAGTCTCTCGGGCTGGTGCCGGCTAGAAAGATTTAGGGAGGGTTGGGGGGTGGGCTATGCAGCTCTTTGTTTGATACCCTATGCGAAGTTAGACCTCTACCTGTATGCTGGGTTGTTTGGGTTTTTTTTTTCTTAATCTAAATAACGGATAAATACAGGTACTGCAATCTGTGTATGTGTGTGATGTGGGTAGGTATGTATGTATGCGTGTGGGAAATGAGGATGTATTTAAGGGTGTGTGTTTCTGTGTGTGTATGTTAGGGAAAACGGTAGGGGTGGGGGGGGGAGGCGAGATTGGGGAAATTAGGTAAGATGCAAGAAGACATTGAGCAAACAAAAAGGTTGTAACAGAAATTAAAACAGACACAACAACGTCTTTCCCATTCCTGTTCTCTCTCTCTCTCTCTCTCTCTCTCTCTCTCTCTC